TCTCTTAGTCTTAAAATCAATATTTACTCGATGTTTTTCCAACCAATCTACGCCGAGAATCAAATCAAACTCTTCCAAAGGTAACTCCATCAGGTTGGCCAGAAAAATTTCCCCATTGATCTCTATAGGACACTCTCTAAAAATACGATCCAACATTATGGACTTGCCTAAGGGACTTTGAACTATCACCGAATACTCAGTATTCTTAACAGGAATATTTAGACCCTCAGAAACGGAATGCGATACATAGGAATTGGTAGAACCACTATCAAACAATGCAAAGTAGGGAACTGAATAAATAGTAACAGTACATGCAGTCACATTAGGCCCATCACGATCTTGTCGAAGTCTGGCAGTGTAAACCAATGCAGGTTGTCTAGCCTCAGATCTGACCGGACCCCTACTCTGAGATGCTCGACCTCTGCTAGCCGATCCCGATTATCTCTCATGAGTACAACCACCTACAGGAGTCTGAACAGTACTCTGATTATGAGCGGGAATACGAACTGGTGTCTGAACTGTAGTAACTGACACTGGACAATCCCTTATAATATGGTCACCAGAACCATATCTAAAACAGGTGTCAAATTTTCTCCTGCATTCCCCAAGATGATGTTTCCCACAATAATCACATGTCTGCAAAGATTGTAACCCAGAAGATCCACCATGTCAAGAAGGCTGAACAGCTGAAGAACCAGATACAGCAGGTCTGACACTCACACCGTCTCTCTAAAAGGAATCACCCCTGCCTCTCTTGCTAGGATATGCAGAAGAATCAACAGAACCAGAAGGCCTCCTAAATTGGTTTTGAGCCCGATCAATGTCTCTCTTGCGCTCCATACTCAATCGCTCTATTTCCTCAACAGTCTTGGCTATCTCAACCAAGGCATCAAAATTCCTCTCCCGGTGAGTAGCAACTCGGCTCTTGATTTCATACCTGAGTCCATTCTCGAACCTCAAACATCTATTTACCTCAGTGTCAACAAGTCCAGGGGCATAACGACTCAATCGGATGAACTCCACCTCGTAATCCATAACAGACATATTACCCTGCTTCAGATCCTGAAACTCCTGGCATTACTCCTGCATATATCTCTCCCCAATATATCGACTCCGAAAACGTGTCTTGAAAATATCTCATGTTAACTGGTTTCTAGGAATACTACCAGAAATTGATTGTCACAATCTAAAGCTCTCTTTCTTCAACATAGTTAGGCTCCCCTTCAACTTCTGCTCAGGTCTGAGATCCATCTCATCCATAATCCTCTCTGTGTCCTCCATCCAATACTCAGCGTCTGTCGGAGGTCCACCAGTAATACCCTCGAATGGAACTACACCAGCAGCGACCAGAGAATTTGAAATCTCAACCGTAGTCATATTACTAGGGGCTCTAGCAGATCTCTGAAACATGCGGAATATAGCTCTATTAATGGCGTCTTCGTTCATGTCAGTATCCTCATCTCCAGTGACGGGAGGGTCTCTCACAGGAGTAAACTGGTCATCATGAGAAAGGGTCTGATCTACTTGCGGAACAAGAAGATCACGTGGAGACATCGGATCGTCGATCGTAACAGAAGGTCGAGCGACTCGTCCTCAACCACGGCCACGTCCTGTCCTACGACCTCTAGCAGCACTCATCGTTGGATCTATAAGGCTCTACAGAAAGAATTTAAAACATATGTCATATTAGCATCAGGGGTCTCGAGAAAACTTTAAATCATAAAATAATGTGACATGTTTTTTTTTCTCTTCAAAATTTCTTAAAAATCCAAAGTTTAGGACCCATATACAGTCTGAGTGTTTAAAACCGAAAGCTCTGATACCACCAAATGTAACCCTCCAGACTCGGTCTATAAGTTAGACCTAAACCTAAGTGGTCACATATCCCATTTAGAGTTTTTTTTTTATTTCCTTAAAATACATTAGATATAATATAGAACAAAATATTAATAATACAGATATAGCCAAAACGATAGCAAATACATGTCACCAAACATAACCGAAAAATATATAGAGATATACGTTCGTACAAAATAAGTAGTTGATCTCCCCTGATGCCAAATCTGCTAGCTTACGGTCTGTTGTTATCTGAAAAAGGGTAAAAACTACATAATTAGCTAAAAAGCCCAGTGTGCTCCATACAATATATATAAAAAACATACAGATAAAGACTTTCAATAAAATCGGTTTATACAACATGTTTTTAAAACATGAACACTACCCCCATCCGTTCACATCATAAATGTGTAGGTTCCCCAGAACCATACACCCAACCGCACATACCATTTAGACCCTGAGCACAAAGCCGAGGAGTCTGCAGATAATCTTCCTTCAACAATACCCCCCAATGACAATATTAAACATGAATGTATTCAAGTGAAAACAATGATTAATCACTTAAAACATAAAAATGTTTCATACTTGGAAACCATATGCAGAAATACGGAAATCAGAATTCAAAACAGTAATATATGGTAATTCAGATGTCAGATAATCATATTTCAGAAATCGGTATAAAATACCTTAATCCAGAAATTATATCGGAATATACAGTAAACTAGATATCAAATACTTGGTATTCAGATGAATCATTTTAAAACAATAATGTAATATTGTTAGGAAATACACCTGTAACAGTCTGAGAAATCAGATAGGGAAGCCTACTACTGGGTTTGTCGATCACGCTCTACTGCAGCGCTAGATCCTACGAATTGGAAAAACCCATATTGAAATCCTAATATAAATAATCTTAATCTTTATTTAAATAATATACGGAAACCTACGGGAAATTCTTGTAGTACGCGGTTCGGGCTGATCTGACGAACGAACAACTCCGGACCTAACTGATCCTCGCTCAGGTGAAACACGAGTACCTTCATAAAATATTTTATTGAATCAATTCCTTAACCAAATCTCAAATAAATAATTAAAATACTAAAATACAAAGCCCTTTTTGGGTTCACGTGCTCGATTTGGGAATTTCGGGTCATAATTTGGCAAAACAGACTTTGAAATCAGATTCAGGACGTCGAAAAACATAAAGTATCACCTTCCAGATATTTAAATTATTGGTCAAAGTCACAGTCAAAGGGTTTGATTGACAATTTGGAGACTTCCGGGTTCAAATTTGGTGAAACGGACCCCAAAAACGGATTCGGAACATTAAAAAATGTCAGGATAGGTATACTCGGAAAAGATTAATGGTCGTTTAATGGCCGGTCAAAGTTCTGGTCAACTGTCAACGGGTCGGGTCGAACCGGTCAAACCGGTTTCAAGCACTGACCGAGCCTTCCCCATGCACAGTGGTGGCGCGTGGGACCTCCTCCGGTGTCCTATAATTCACGGAAAAATTTCTAAAAATTATTTTGAGCGATTTCGAGATACTTACAAAGCTCGGTTCAAATTTTTGAACGGCGGAGAGCTCAATTTCAACAAATCGGAAACTTTGACCGCTTCACCTCCCCACGCGCCGCCGTCTACGGCCACCAAGGATGAAACCGACGGACTCGGAATGAAACAAGGAACTCGATGGTGCGGGAGGTGTCGTAAACGGAGCAACGATCGGTGATGAATTTAAGATTTTCTCGGCAATTGTGCTAAAAAAACGTCGAGACTTTGACTTGAAATTCCCGACTTTTGGCAACGTTTCACTTCAATTAATTTAAGGGGTTTGTTCCTCCCTCGATGATGAAAACGGTGGTGCTTTCAAATTGACGATCAGAGGTCGGACGGCGTCGGAATAGTGGTTGGAAGTTGGGGCTTTGAGGGAGGAAATTTTATGAAATTCATTCTGATTTCAGAATGAATTTCGCGCTTATAATGCGTGAATGTCGACACTCTAGTGGTAAATTCAGGGCTTGGTCCCTAAATTTCCTTCATCTCTAAAACAAACTACAAGTTTTAAAAATTTTCAAATTTTACCAATTTACTTAATTAACTCGTCAAATTTCAATTAAAATTATTATTATTTTTTCAAATTTCCGGGTTGTTACATGTATTATTAAATATTTGATATAATATATAAAATTTTATTTTATAGTACAATTTATACGTAAAGTTTTGGCTTAATTCAATTTTTATAAATTATTCAAGTTATTGTTAACATAAAATCATTTTATATTAACATGATATATATATAAGTGATTATATTTATTTAAAATGAATATCTATATATATTAAGAGCTATATAATTGAATTTAAATTAATATTTTATTTATATAATTGAACAAAATTAAGACTTCATGTGTATAATTGTACAAAATTAAAGTTATGTACTATATTACATATTGGATGAAAAATCATATATACTTTTAATAATTATTTTAGTTTAAATTAATCATTGTTGTATTATTTATTTATAATAATTTCATAATTCAAATATATTTTAATTCTATTAATTTAAAAATATAATTATTTTTTTACCATAATTATAAAATTCAAATTCAAAATTGAACTTAACTATGAATATGCTAATTTTAATGTCAAGTATAATAACATTTTTATTAAATAAACAGGTTTAATTTAAATAATACTATTTTCGTTTCAAATTAACATAACAAGTTTAAATCTTAATTTTGTGAATACAAAATAAACTAAATCAAATCAAGAAGGTGATTCTCTAGATATTAATTTAGATTAATTAATTAATTAATTAATTAAGAACTGAAATTAAATATTTTATTTATATTTTGATGAGTGTTGTTTGGCTCTGTCATAATACTGACGACAAAGCAACCATTTGCAGCATTACAAGCAATAATATTATTTATTTAGACTTTAAATGTCCATGAACGCTACTCATTGTGTCAATGTGATGAAGACGAAAGCATAACACCCCCCAAAAAAACATGATTCATGTGCTTCTTCATGCCACATTGAGGTTGTCTCTTTTTTATAATGCAAAAAAAAAAAAAAAAAAACACGACGCAGAATTCTTTTATTAGTAAATTATATACATTCGATGATAAACACCGTATCGAAACATATTCATATCTAACACATACCATGTCTAATATCCGTATCGAAACAAAATCTTATCTGACCCACCCGAACCTGGGTACATAGATGATGCATATTCAAGACAGTGTACCAACTTGACTTAAAACCCCAAAATGGCATCTAATTCTCAGTCAACGGCCTTTGAGGTATAGCGCCAAAGAAGCCCTCCAACAAGGTTGTTTAATGCATGGGAAGCCATGGGAACGATGAGGCTAGAAGATACGATTGTTGCATAACCATACACAATCCCAACAAAAGTTGCCCTACAACATTCAACATCACCTAAATGATATGATCATACAAACTTGGTATAAAAAAAATACTAAAGTGGAACCTATGTAGTTCCGATTATTTGCTTTTGTTGAAATACCCGTATCAAGCACATATGTTCGATATATGGGCATGGAGATATGAGCTTCTAAGCACCCTCCAAGTGAAAGGAAAAACTTGGAAGAAATCAAATTATACTCGGGTTAAACACATACTTGTCCGAGTAACATGCTCTTTAACATTATTCTAAGGCATAGCCAAGAATGAGAAAACATCCACAAGCCCTGGTTCTCAATATTTTCTGCATATTTGTAGCAATTGTGGAAGACACGGTTAGTATGTAGACTGAACCCTGATAAATTTTAACAATTTGGGACCTAAAGAAAAAGATATTCCTGACCTAAACTTTATTTCAGTCAAACAGGTTTACCTAATAGACTAAAACCATTACATAACATGCTAACATGGCTTAGTTGACCAAAACAAATTTGTTGTGTCAAGTAATGCCACATCGGTACCTAAAAGAATATTTTGATCAACTCATGATGTTTATTTGTACTGAAAAAGAATCATAATGTCTAGCATTAAATCAACCTAAGCTCCTTGGACTCCGGTATGAGTGTCGGATAAGGATATGTGTCTGACATGGGTATGGTCAAAATTTTCTAATTTTTTCCATGTATTTGGAGGGGTCCTTGGAGGTTGTCCTCATATCCAAGTCTTAGACACGAGTTTTGGGCATGAATGAAAAAAGATGAGTCGGAGCAACATAAGAATCAGTAAGATGTTAGAAGCGTATACCATACTGCAAATGAATACTTTCTCCCATTGCCCAAGTGTAAAACACCAAAAAGTGTGCTAACAACCAGGACACTCTTCCAGTCAAATCCAAAAACTGGAAGAAGTGCACCACGAAAAAGGAGTTCCTAGACATCGTGCATATGGATTAGTAAGGTAAATCACAAATCTGAATTATGAAAAAACAGGAGTTGACAGGAATCAGAAACAGCTTTTCAGTTACCTCACTCATCCCAGGCAGAAATGCAACAATCAAGTAATCGTAAGGTTGTAGTGAAGAAAGAACCTGCAAAACGGAGGAATATGTTTTTGAAGTTCAACAAATCAGTCAAAAGATCAGTATGTGTTCATATTTGAATCATTATTTAATCTCAACTATCAATAAAATTGAAAATCAACCAAATAAATACATTAAAACCAAACTATCAGACAATATAGAATAAAGACAGAACAAACTGAGCCAAATGAACCAAATTTAATAAACCGGTAGGTTTAATAGGTAGTTGACATTTTGTTCACCCAATCAACGGTGAACCAGCAAGGAGTCCGGGTAAAGACCAATGCATGAAAGTGAGCAGGATAGATAACCTACCTGCTTATTGGCTGTTTCACTTGACTCGGAAAAACTAGGCCACGTCTTCAATAATATATACCGACATGAAGAAATTAGCACAACCAATCCAGTGATAAACTCAAGATGCCACATCTCAAAACCAACTGCAAACAATTCGAGAGACAATTATTCTGTTTGGTATATAATAGCTACATTACTCGGATTCAGGTGCAGACATCTGACTTTAAATTTTTCTAAGTTTTTTCATGCGTTTAGAAGGTCGTATCCTCTTACTCATGTTCAAAAATGTGTCGGTCATGGATAGTAAAAGAAAAGTGAACAGTTGGAGCCACATTGTATGAGAGTCCAAATTCTCCCAAATAGCATTATAGTACACGCATGTACTTAGTTTTGCACGCTCAAATGCATACATGAGAAACCTTAAAAAAGACTATTCAATATCAAACTAGAACCCTCAGCTTCTTCATAGTTCACTTATCACTGAACCTACTCTGTTTCTAGAACTCCTTTCATCGAAAGCTTAATCAGCAATGGTCGTTTTTAAATAGTCCCTAATATCTAAGATGCATCTAGGGCTATTTTTTCCATTTGAAAAAAGAACCTGTAGACCAGAATATACTATGCCTTTCCACAAGCAATGCTAAAGTGAGACTTCAGGTGGCTATTTTCACTATGCACGTCTAAAAGTTTTTTGAACAGGGCAATCCAAGGCCAGCAGCACTCTATTTTACAATATCTGACCATTTCTAATATGACTTGAGGTCAATTTTGCCCCTGCACTGGAGTCCTACATGCCAGTTAATCTGACGGTCCATAAATATGTAATGAATTAAGACAATATTTCAGATAATCAAAATTATACTCGTGACCTCAACTTATTTTTAAAGGGCATATTTTGCTATGGAATGCAGTTCCATCTAACATTAATGGCAGAAAAGTGGAAAAGAAACCAGCTTCAGAAAATCATTTAGGATGGAAGCTTAAATTGAAATATATACATGATACTTTCATGGAGCTGTCAAGAATCGGCAATCCTTCCATTGACCCAACATGCGATGCCTGCAGATTACTAAAGAAAATCAAATACTTAAATGCTACTACAAAGTGATGGATGTAAAAAGAGGCCTAAAAGCAAAGAATAAGATAATTGAAATCAAGCTAGTGATCATGCGTGCTGAAGGAAACCTGTCTAATTATTAAACCCGCAGCTGCTATCAACCCAGAAGTGATGGTACAGGCTTGAAGCACATTGCTCCTGGAAGGAATGGAAATTGAATCCTGTGAAGCTGAATGTACATTTTTTCCATTATTTATATTGTCATCCTTAGAGAGACAAGAATCGGCTAGGACATTGCTGTCTTCTGATAAAGTCTCTTTAGTTTGTATGGTGTAACTTTTACTTAGTCGTCCCTCTCTTCTTGATTTTTTCATTGATTTGCGACTAGCAAAGGTCCTTATGTTAAATCTAGTGCCCTGCAGACGAAAGCAGACATGTATAAAACCTAAAGGCTATGTACTTTTCAAACACAACAGATAGCTTGCGCTTCTACTAAAAAGAAGAAGAAGATAGCTTACACTGATTGAGTTTTGGGTTGAAAGCACTTTGGTTCCATAGTAGCAAAAACACTTCCCACCTATTCAAATATCACCAATCGTGCACACCAACAAAGAATAAAGATGAGCTATTCTTTACTAATAACTGAGTTCTTGATCCAAATCTTAGGGGAGTAAACAAGGGTACTTGGGTTCAAATAAAGAAACTTGATTTGGCTCGGTCATTGTCAAGTCAAGCTATTAGACAAATTGGATTCGAGTATTCTGAAATTAAACTAATCGAGTTCAAGCGTAAATAATCAAGTCTTTAAGACAATAATGGAAATAGACAAATTGGAATCAAGTATTCTGAAATCGAGCTTACTTTTATCAGATGAATGAGATTAATCAAGTCTATTCAAGCAAGTTCATGCATAAAAGCTTGATAATTGAGCTTATTTTTACCAAGTAAAATAAAAAAAAATGGAGCAAGCTTGAGCAGTTCAATTTTTATCTCGAGCTTGAACTTCAAAACGTGAAACTCAATTAAACTAGAACCAAATTTCAGGCCCTGAATTTTGACTCGAGCTCAGCATCTCATCGGCACAATTACACCCCTAACAAATATGATACATAGGTATGCAAGAACTAACATGAAAACATCAAAACTTTCCCAATTTTAGCATTCGTCTAGATAAACATTTCAGTTGGTAAAACAGACATAATAAGGAAGAGAAGTTGTACTAACAGCCTATAGTGAGCAAACCCATAGCTGGTTTCAGCTTCAAAATCGAAGTGGATGCAACCTTTAAGCTGTCAGACCCAAAAATCACAAAAAATGAAAACCAAAACATGAAAAAGAAAGAAACACAGAAAACGTTTGCGTTTATGTGTGTGTGTGTGTGTGTGTGTGTGAGAGAGAGAGAGAGAGAGAGAGAGAGAGGGGGGGGGGGGGAGAAACTCAATGCAAGGCAAAAGCAAACCTTTATCCGCAGCTTCTGTGTTTCTAAGTTCTCAACTAGAATTTCACAATTAAGATATCAAAGTTACCCAAATAAGAAGTGAGAAGTTAGGAGATGTGTATGTGGTCCATCAATTTATTCAAATTCATTTATTGATATAAGTAGTTAAAAATAAATTTAAATAGAATATTATGTAGATATAATTACTTAAATTTAAAATAATTAAAAAATATTAATCTCTTTAATCATTAAGACTGTTAATAATTTTAAAAATAATAAATTACAAATAAAAATATAGATAATGGTTCACTATATAAATTAATATTTGTAGTCTTTGTATTTTCAAATTTAAAACTTTATTTTAAATAAAAATAGATGTGAAATTTTAAATTAAATTCATTAGTCTTTATAATATATGTTGATTAAAAATTTTAATTAATATTTTTTATTAGATAATTTTAGTTAATGTAATTTAATTATGTCATCTCTTTATTAATTAAATCAATATTAAAACTAAAAAATAAAAAATAATAAAAAATAATTAAATTAAGATATAAATATCTTATCCACAAATGTTACACGAATAGCGCACAAGTGAACAATTTGGCCTTTTTTACATAATCATCATCCAATAGAAAATTAATTACAAAAATAGCTCCTCGGTCATGAATTGGGAGACTGTGATAATATAAATATAAATGTATAAATTTTATGTTCAATTACTTAATAAATATATATCTAAAAAATTATATTTAAATATTAAAACTCTCATATTTAAACAATGTAAGAACGACCATTTTTAAATAATTAAACATAAAGTTAATAATGTGTGTTTTGTCGTCGCTTAATTTGTATGGTGATCGTGTAATTATGTATTTTCAATATGTATTGCATTTTTTTATAAAATTCATATATATATATTTCATATTTTTAGCCCCTTTTACTTTCTTACATTTTAGTTTAAATTGTGTTTATATTGTTATGACGTAGGCAAAAATGGTATCTTATAAAATCATTTTTAAAGACGTTTTTAGCGTAATAAATCTTTATTTTTTTGAAAAAATATTATCAATCCAAAATATAATTTGAAATGATGTTATTTTTATAATTATTTTTTATTTTGATGATATTTGGATAGAAAAAAGCCGCACAATTTGCTAGTTGAAAATAAAGTGGGCTTAACACATGGGCTCATATGGTTTAACGAAGAGAAATGCTCAAATCATCTGAAGGGTAGGGGCCCATCTGAAAGCGGCCATTGTAGAGAAAGAAGAAAAAACCGAAAAGATTGAACGACCTTAGAAAAATAAACCCTCAAACCATAAGCGAGAAAAGAAGGATCCGGTTTTATTCGTTGGAGAAAACCCATGGCGCCTAAGCCTAAAGAGAAGCTAAAAGCGGCTTCTTCGCCGTTGCAGCCTCCTCCCCCTATCGAAGATCTTTTCACTTCACTCAACAGACACATCCAACGATCCGAATTCACACAAGCCGTCAAAGTTGCAAATCAAGGTCCATTGAATTCGTAATTTTTATTTTCTTTTTTACTATTTCCAAAATCAATCAAATCTAATGAGTAATTTTGAATTTTACGCAGTTCTGTCAGTTGCGCCGGGAGATGAAGACGCCATTCGATGCAAACTTGTGGCATTGATAAAGGCCGATAAGATTGTGGAGGCTCTCTCAGCAATTCAATCTGCTCAGAAGGTTTCTTTTGATTTCAGTTTCTACAAGGTCGTCCATTAACCTATCTATATGTGAATCCCGTGTTGTAATCTGATTTTAGTTTCAATTTTATGCGATTACTGAATATTATTGAACAATAAAAACTGAAGTATTAAATATTTGTGAATAGGGAAAAAATGCAGGAATTCACCTATCTATATGTGAATCCCGTGTGACAATCTTGTACATATAGTAATTTGCACATTTTGATCATGATTTGAATTCATCGAAAACTAAATAGCAAAATAGTAATCAGACAGAGTTTAAGTATATTGTATTTATGTTGATTCATTGATATATCATTTAGTAGGTTTGGGAAGTTTTCTTGTAATCATGATTTGGAGTTCAAGTTCTTGCTTTTTTGATTGATTTTTTTTGGTTAATGGATTTTATGTTTAATTTATTTCAATTTTGGTAGTCTATAAAAGGTGTTTTTATATTATGGGACTTCTATGCAAGATTTCTAGTTAGTTTTTGGTCTTATCATATTCTTTCGTTTACTGTTATCAGCTTTATCTGTTTATTCATGTTTCCCTCTTATGTTGTTGTAACTCTTAAGTTTTTCTGAAGCAATCGTGTCCGACTCATTTTGGACATGGGCATGAGGATATGACTCTCCAAGACATGAAGTTCTTAAAAATAAAAATGAAAAATGCTCGTATCGGACACAACCCCTTTTTGACACACCTGAATCTGAGTAACATAGTTTCACTCTGCACCTTATGTTTGCTTGCTTTCTTGATATTTAATTTATCTAGTTAATAATATGTTGCCACATTTTGGGTGCATTGATGTTCCAGAACAAATTACTATTTCTATTAATACATCTGTTTTCTTTGTATCTCTAAATAAGGCATATTGCCTATACCGGCTAAACAAGTTGGATGAAGCTTTGAAGCATTTGGAGAAGCAAGATAAGACTCAACCTAGCATGTTGTTAGAATCTCAGATTCTATACCGTTTAGGAAAAATGGACGCCTGTGTTGATATCTGTCGGAATCTTCAAAGAGAAAAGATTGATTCCTTGGAAATAAATTTGGTTGCTGGTTTTGTTTCTGCTGGAAGAGCTTCTGAAGTGCAAGGAACTTTGGATGCCATTAAGATCAAAGCTACTAGCAGCTTTGAGTTGGCATATAATATTGCTTGTTCTTTAATTGAAGGAAACAAGCTTAAGGATGCAGAACAACTCTTGCTCACCGCCCGAAGGTACTGCAGTATTTTTTTGTTCGATATGTATTATCATGGGAATTTTTTTTTGTTACTCAATATTGGCTGGGGGATCAATGTTTAATTTTATTAGTGAATCCACAGAGTACTTGTGTTTTGGGGCTAGTATTTTGTCAATAATATATTTAGATTTTAGAGGAACCTAGTAATGATATCAAGCATATGTTGGCGGGCCTTCTTTATCTCAGAACTTTTCATTATAACAATAGTTTAGTTATGCTGATTGTCTATATTTTTAGTTTGATCTGTTTTTGAATAATTTAACTTATTTTATTCTCATCATCAGTTCTACTTCAGAAATACAGTTGAGTGGTGGCTCCTTCTGTGATTTGACCTTAAAAATAAATATATATATATATATATCTTGATAATTTTACTGTGCTCTAGTTTTATCAGACATAAGTAGGTTTCCATGGCTGACTGGACGGAAGTTCTCTAGAAAAACAATTTTATAAGGCTTCAGAAATTCTTTTTTCAAACAAAGCATAGGTAAAAATCAGCTTTCAAATGATTAGGTTGTTGATATCTGTTTTAGTTTCATTCAGATTAATGTTTCCAATTCTAATGCTCTGGCTTCTAAGGGAACTATTATAACATACTGCTTAGCTTATTCATTTGATATTAAGATGTATCCAAATAGTGGTGGACCACAAATTCTACTGTTTTCAGATGTTGATTCATGTTCCTTTTCTTGTTTTTATCTTTTTATTATGTTAGAATTGGTCAGGAAACACTGACAGAAGAAAACCTTGCTGATGATGACATCGAGAATGAACTTGCTCCTATTGCTGTCCAGTTAGCTTATGTTCATCAGGTAAAACAATAGCATCATGTAATCATTTTTTGTATTATTTCTCTTTTTTTATCTCCTTCCTGTTAATGGGGTTAGTGCAGCAGCCACTAATGTGTGTTAACTTGCTTTATCAGCTCCTTGGTCAAACACAGGAGGCTGTTGGAGCTTATACAGATATCATAAACCGAAATCTGGCAGATGAACCATCACTTGCAGTGGCGATGAACAACTTTATTGCTGTGAAAGGTCCAAAAGATATATCTGATAGCTTAAGGAAACTTGACCGGCTTAAAGAGAAAGACTCGCAGAAGTTTGAACTTGCACATGCAATTGACTTGAAGCTTTCACCAAAACAAAAAGAGACAATATATGCAATCGTGTTCTTCTACTTCTTCATGCAAATAAGATGGATCAGGTTTTCTGTTTTGGGATTTTGCATTTATTTCTTTTGATATGCATTGGTTTTTCAGCTCCCTTTTTTTAGGGGGAAAGAAAAAAGAAGACAGGAAGCTAATCAATTTGTTTCCCTTTTTTGTTGGTGAATATCTGCAGGCTCGGGAACTTGTCTCTGTTTTGCCACAGATGTTTCCTGACAGTGTGATGCCAATACTGCTCCAAGCTGCTGTCTTGGTAAGAGAAAACAAAGCAGGGAAAGCTGAAGAAATGTTTGGTCAATTTGCTGAGACGTTCCCTGAAAAGTCGAAGATCATATTCTTAGCAAGGGCACAGGTTGCTGCTGCTGCTGGTCACCCTCAAATTGCAGCTGAATCCCTTGCTAAGGTGCCCGATATCCAGCACATGCCTGCCACTGTTGCCACTCTTGTTACCCTTAAAGAGCGTTCTGGAGATATAAATGGTGCAGCCGCTGTTCTTGACTCCGCAATCAAATGGTGGAAATCTTCTATGACCGAGGACAACCAGCTCAGTGTTATCATGCGAGAGGCTGCATCCTTCAAGCTCAGGCATGGAAAGGAGGAGGCAGCTGCCCAGTTGTACGAGGAGCTTGTAAAAAGTCACGGAAATATTGAAGCATTGGTTGGGCTGATAACTACAGTCGCTCATGTGAATGTTGAAAAGGCTGAAGCTTACGAGAAGCAACTGAAACCATTACCAGGTTTGAAGGGAGTTGATGTGGATGCTTTAGAGAAAACTTCTGGAGCAAAACCTGTTGACAGTGCTTCTCGTGGCAGTCTTGCTGATGCTCGAGCGGATGGTAAGACCAAGGAGAAACCAAAGAAAAAGAGGAAGAGAAAGCCGAGGTATCCCAAAGGGTTTGACCCGGCAAATCCTGGTCCTCCGCCAGATCCTGAAAGATGGCTCCCAAAGAGGGAAAGGTCAAGTTATAGGCCTAAACGGAAGGATAAGAGAGC